GGGCAGCCTCTTTCTGTGGAGTCCCACGTCCCCACCTCCACCCCCATCCTTGCACTGTGGCGTCCCAGTTTCTACAGGGGACTGTTCTAACAGAGCATTGCATGGCTGCTGGGGGCAGCAAGCCCAGGACCTGTTCCACCTAGAGGCTCTGTTCTCTCAAGGGTGGGGAATGGGGTGCTTATACTGACATTTGTGATGTCTGTGGGAGACAGATGAAGTCTGGAGTCCCAAGGGGCGTGTGAAAACTTTGGGCATTTCTAAGTGCGTCCTGTGACCTACAAGATGTACTTGCCTAGGCTGAGGGCCAAGTGGGGCGTCCCTCCCTCTTAGTCCTGTCTTTATGGGAAGCCTGAGAGGTCAGGCGCCAGCTGCATGGAGGACCAAGGCCTGCTCTTGGGGTTCTCTAGGGACAAGACTGGGTGGCCTGGACCCCTTTTATTAAGTTTTGGACTCAGTCCTGGTCTGACCACCCACTCTTCCCACTGTGCCGGAGGGGCCCCCCAGTATTTCCCAACTCCCCTTGAATAGCAGCAGAAGCTTCCAGAGAAGAGCTCTCTTGCCCTCTTGTGGTCGCATCGCTGAGGTGAGGTACAGCAATATTTCAATGAGCTCCCTGCTCTCCAGGCATCAAGAAGGTACCTTCAGCAGCGTTACTACAGACAGAGGTAAAAGGAAGCCGCTTCCAGCTAGTCCTTCCTGGGGCTTTTTCTTTCTCTTTCTCTCTTTCTTTCTCTTTTTTCTTTTCTTTTTTGTTAGGTGGGTTCTGTTTTGTTTGAGACAGGGTCTCACGTATCCCAGGCTGGCCTGTAACTCATTACACAGCCAAGGGTGATCTTGAACTTCTGATCCTCCTGCCTCAATCTCCAAAGTGCTAGGGTTACATACGTGCTCCACCACACCCTGTCTCGTGCAGCTCTGGGACGGAACCGGGACCTCAAAGGTGTTCGGTTGAGATTTATCTCTAGTCCCCCCACAATGAGGGTAAGGACTAGGTACTAAACCATCAAGGTTCACATATGAAAATAGCTAGTTTGCAGAGTGAATGTGGATGCCCTTCCTCACCTGGCCTTCATCTAAGGCACTGAGCATGTGCGGGGGGGGGGGGGGGGGGGGGGGACGGGGACCAAATGCAGACAAGGGAGCAATACAAATGGGGCTGACAGATTGACAGGTGCTGTGTAAGTGTCCTATAAAGGCTCATGGGCCGTGTCTTGGAATTATTACTGCTATGATCAAACACCATGACCAAAGGTAACTTGGGGAGGACAGGGTTTATTTGGCTTACACTTCCATATCACTATTTATCACTGAGGGAAGTCAGGACAGGAACTCAAACAGGAGCTGAAGCAGAGGCCATGGAGGGGTGCTGCTTACTGGCTGGCTCCCCATGGCTTGCTCAGCCTGCTTTCTTTTTTTGTTTTGTTTTTTCTTCAAGACAGGGTTTCTCTGTGTTGCTTTGAAGCCTGTCCTGGAACTCACTCTGTAGACCAGGCTGGCCTCGAATTCACAGAGATCTGCCTCTGCCTCCTGAGTGCTGGGATTAAAGGTGTGTGCCACCATCACCTGGCTCAGCCTGCTCTCTTATAGAACCCAGGACCACTAGCCCAGGGATGGCACCACCCACAACGGGCCAGGCCCACCCCCATCAAACACTAAATAATAAAATGCTCTACGGCACAGGCTGTATGGCTCAGGGCCCTCTGAGGTCCTTCCTTGGCTCACTGGCCTGCCCCCAGCATCAGGAGTGCTTCCTCCTTTCTTTTTCTTTTTTTTTTTTGTTTTTTTTGTTTTTTTCAAGACAGGGTTTCTCTGTGTAGCTTTGCGCCTTTCCTGGAATTCGCTTTGGAGACCAGGCTGGCCTCGAACTCACAGAGATCCACCTGCCTCTGCCTCCCGAGTGCTGGGATTAAAGGCGTGCGCCACCACCGCCCGGCGCTTCCTCCTTTCTTATAAGTTCTTTTTTTGTTTTTCTGTTTCTAACCATGTGTCCCTAGTGCAGTCCTTTGCCCTGGGACACAGCAGTTGGCAATGGGGTGACCTCTGAACTCAGATTCACGGCCTGGGACTAAGCAAACCGAGCATGCTTTTTCTTTTTCTTATCTCTTTTTCAAAAGCCTAAGCATGCTTTCCCTAAGACCCTAGGCTCCCCGCCCCCCTCTTTCTCCAGCCCCAACCCCCTTTCCAGCATGCAGCTGCTTGCCAATCTCCAGAGTAGACGGCACAGCTTCCTCTCTTCCTCTTCCCCATCTCCCTCCTCTGGGCAGCAGCCAAGATTTTAAGCTTACCTTCCCTGTTATTTTTCTTAAACCCCAATAAAAAACGTTCTCAATCTTCTTCCAGGTCCATTTAAAAACTTGTATTCTAGAGACTAAGAACTCAAAAGGGGACCTCAGTTTCCCCTACAACACCTGGGCTTTTTGTCTTAATGAAAACTCAAATTTCTCAAGGGCATAATAATCCAGGGGGCACAATCATGAACTCCCCAAGGCCAAAGAGGCTGGGAGCATAAAGAAAGAGAGGAAATGGAGGCACACACCAACATGGAGAGCCTCTACACACCTCATCTGTTCTGGGAAGAAACAGGCACAGGAACATGGAGGACCCCTGAATGGGCAAGGCAGGCCAGGCCATCTGTCCCAGAATCACAGGACTTTGGAATGGACTCAGGCCTGCTGGTGGTGATGTGGGGCCCATGGCCTCCAGGCTGTAGACACAGGGCTGTTTTTCACAAGGGGTCCCCAGAGTCACCTGCTGTAAGGATGACGAGTCCACTGTGAACAGGAACGGGTCCTTGGGTGGAACCAGTGAGCCCGGACGGATCCCCACGTGTTAGAGGCAGAACCACTGCCACCCTGGCCTGCTTAGCTACCGTGCTCAGCCAGGCTCTGAGTCCTGGTCTGGGGGCACTTTTGTGGCTCTCAAGAAAGATTGGCTTCCATGTGGGTCATTCCCAACACACCAGTGCCAGGCAGCAGGAAAGTGCATCCCACAGCCCCCACTCAGATTATTAGAGCAGCTGTCTGCCCTCAGAATCAGCTGCCCCTCTGCAGTGAGCAGGCCCAGGCACGAGAACCTTGATGTGGAGCTATTACTGGTAGCTGGGTATTTCCAGGTTCTTGGCCTCTTAGTTCAGGAACTGAAATAAAAGCCCACGTCTGTAGCATGAATATTAAAGAGTCTTATTAATAAAATCAAACCTGAGGCCAGGTATTGGGGTGAACGCTAGAAGATCAGAGAAGCAGAACAAGCCACAGCTACCTCACCTCGCCAGTTCCTCAGCTGATCCTGTTTTCTCAGACTGGAAGCCTCTGAGTCCTTATCCAAATGGATCTCAGCTGAACTGCTTCTTGAAAGCCTGAAAGCTTAACCAGCCAAATGCTTCTAGTTTCTGGTCTTTACGCCTTATATATCTTTCTGCTTTCTGACATCACTCCCTGGGATTAAAGGCTCACTTCTTGGGATTAAAGGCGTGAGTCACCATGCCTGGCTGTATCCTTGAACAGATGGATTTCTGTCTCTGGAATGCTAGGATTAAAGGCGTGTGCTACCACTGCCTATCCTCTATGTTTAATATTGTGGCTGTTCTGTTCTCTGACTCCAGATAAGTTTATTAGCGTGCACAATATTTTGGGGAACACAATACCACCACACATGTCAGTTTACAAAAATAATAAGAAAAGCATTTAAAGCAAAATTATGTCCATGCATTCAAATCCAGTTCAGGCCAGATGGGTCCTCTTCCTCATACCAGGGTGTCCTGGAAATACATTTAAATAGTGTCTTAGCTCCTCTTCTGTTGCTGTGATAAGACACCATGAACGAGGAAACATAAAAGAATGAGTCTGTTTGGGGCTGATGGTTTCACAGTGTTTGATTCCATGACTATCATGGCAGCAGAGCAGGGTAGCAGGCAGTAAGGCATGGTGCGGGAGCAGTTGAGAGCTAGAGCCAACGTGAATGGCATAGGCTCTCAAACCTCAAAGCCCGCCCTCAGTGACACACCTTCTTCAACAAGGCTACCCTGTGGTGGTACTGTGTTCCCCAAAATATTGTGCACCCTAATAAACTTATCTGGGGTCAGAGACAGAGCAGCCACTAGATACAAAGGCTAGAAAATGGTGGCACTCACACCTTTAATCCTAGCAATCCAGAGGCAGAAATCCATCTGCTCAAGGATACAGCCAAGCATGGTGACTCACGCCTTTAATCCCAGGGAGTGAGGCAGAAAGCAGAAAGATATATAAGGCGTGAGGACCAGAAACTAGAAGCATTTGGCTGGTTAAGCTTTTGGCTGGTTAAGCTTTTGGCTGGTTAAGCATTCAGGCTTTCGAGCAGCAGCAGTTCAGCTGAGAGGCATCCAGTCTGAGGAAACAGGATCAACTGAGGAACTGGCGAGGTGAGGTTAGCTGTGGCCTGTTCTGTCTCTCTGATCTTCCAGCGTTCACTCCAATACCAGGTCCAGGTTTGATTTTATTAATAAGACCTTCTAAGATTCATGCTACACCACCCCTCCTAATCCACAGTTCCACCAACTGTGGACCAAGTATTACAATATATGAACCTGTGGGGTCCATTCTCATTCAAACCACCACAATTAGAAACTGATGGGAGGGGGGGTCATTGAGAGAAACTTATCCCATTGTTCAGAGTGGGATGTGTGTGTAGCCAGATGCCTGTGGAGTTCTGCGGTTGTTAGGTGCCTTGTATGAACAGTATATACAGGTAAAGGAGGTAGGCTGCCAAGTGCATTATTACAAGAGATGGGGTGTGCATAACCCCAAAGAAGCACCAAGTATTTACTGTCCCATGTTACTAAACTATTTCCTATCCTCGCCTGCCTCCAAACCACTTTAGAAGCTGTGTGAACGAGTCTATCTGTGGCAAGCATCCTCCCCGATAGTGCTTAAATGTCCTATTTCCCAACCCACTGCACAAAGGTCTTGCATCTTGTCTGGGAGAGAACTACTAGTTCTTAAAGGGTTGAACAAGAGGTAACTCACCCACAGAGGAGGTACAGCCGACAACTAGCCTCAGCAGTCCAGCAGTGTGAAGGGCCATGCTGGAGAGTCCTGGGGTGCCAGGAGTACCGGTCAGGTCTACAACGGCTTTTCAACGCGGTCTAAGGCAGAAGCTCATGGTAGCTGGGGAGGCTGCCATGGCCTTTTACAAGTGTACGAGTGCCCATGTTTCCTAGGTAAATGCAAGGATGGATGGATGGTTAGACTGCTGGTGTAGTCTTAGCTTCATGAAAAGCTGTAGGACTCCAGGCACCTCCTTCTCCCTGTGTCCTGACCCAGAAGCACAGATGCCCTGACCACTATGGTCTCTGCCAGCTTAGACCCAAGCTACAGAGCCCAAAACACTGAAAGAAACTTGCTTCGTTCCACACGAAGTCCACAGCCACGTCCTCCCCCCAACCCCCAGGAAGCACCAGGAAGACCATTCTATACACCACCCTCTCTGCCTTGTGAGTTTGTGCTGCAGATCACTGAATGGATGACCTCACTGAATGCTCAGAACTCACCACTTCGCACTCCCTCTTGGGATGCTCTGGGGAATTTCCCCCCACCCCTGAACTACCTCCCCTACTACAGCTCTAGGGGCAACTTCAGCCAGGGTCAGCCAGGACAGAACAGAAACTGTCAAGCTGATTCCAGAGTGGTATGCCACTTTTCACTCCTATCAGCAGTATGTGGGAATCCGTTGTCCCACAACTTCACAAGCTCATCATGTTGTAATCCCAGCATTTTAATATCCACTTCTCCAAGACCTATGGATAGGAAACAGCCTTCCTCTTGTCCATCCATCGTATGTATGCTGTCTTTCTTTCTTTTTTTTTTTTTTTCATTTCGTCACCTACATCTTCTTCAAGTACTCCTGATACTTTAAAGATCTTTCTACGACTGGACACAAGTCCTCTGTTAGGTAATTATTATATTCTGAATGCTTTCTCCCAGTCTCTGTCTTTTCATTTTCTTACCCCTGACTTTCAAAGACTAGGTTTTACTTTTTGATGAAGCTCAACTTATCACACTTGGTTCTAGATACCTCCACGGGGATGCAGCTTAAACAGCAAAGCCAGAGAGTCACTCAATGACGAACCAGGCATTTCCAGGAAAGCTCAGAGCTGTCACTTCACTACGTCCATCATTCCAGGTCCTCTGATCCCAATGCTGCTCCACGCGCCTAGCGCTAGAGGGCTCCGTGGAATGGAGAGCGCTCTCGGGTCTGGCTCCCGTCCCCTCTCCTGGAGGCCAGTGCTCGGTCCTCCTTCTTGCTTCGGAAGGTCGCTCACCTAGCGTCCAGCATAACCAGTGCCTATAGCCAGTTGCGCCCACACCCAGTTCTAAGGCACCGTACAGCACCTGGCGACCAGAATGCCCGGCATCGTGCAGCTTAATATGTACCAGGTGAGACCCAAGCAAGCTCTCCCTGCTCTTGGGCCATCCTGCGCACCGCACAATGATGACCCTGCAACTCCGCCCGGCCGGGCCGCCGCGGTGCAGCTCTGCGAACGCGGGAAGACCGTAGCCAAGAACTGCGCGGGAAGCAGCACTGCGCTGGGGCCCCGCCCCTCCCCAGACCACACCCTCTCAGCCACGCCCACACCCACCCACCCGCCCCAGGACGACGTGAGGCGCGTGCGCATGGTGGGACTTGCCGCGTTGCCGTAGCTACTGGAGACGCGCTCCGCGGGGCAGCCAGGCGCGCTTCCGGGGGGGCGGAGATAGGGTAGCAGGAAGTGCGTGGCCGCCGGGGCCATGGCGGCGCTCAGCGTCGTCTGCATGCTGCTGGCCGTGGGATTTTGGCGACCGGTCTCGGCTTCAGGAGAGGAGTTCTGGCCTGGCCAGTCGGCGGCGGACATCCTGTCGGGGGCGGCGTCCCGCAGACGGTAAGCGTGTCCACGCCATGCCGGGCCGGGCATCTGGGACAGGGTCAGCAGTAGGGCGGGGGCAGCGGGGCCGGGGCTGCGCACGCAGACTGTAAAAGTGAAGCTTGTTTGGCGAAGGTCGCCCTGGCCTTGATAAGGGTCTGAGCTGGCCGTCTACTTCCGAGAGATCTCTACCAGAAGGTCCAGGAGCGTAGGTGGAGCCCGGCTTTGGTCACGCTGGCTGGCCCACGGTCGACTCGGGCGTCCTGTTCCGAGGCCCATCTTGAGCGCCAGCGGTAGGACAGAAGTTACTGTCGTCTTCCTCCGCGGCCGGTATTTCCCAAACTAGAGTAACCCAGGAGCGGTCCGGTGCAAGCAAAGCCAGTGACGATGTGCGTGAAGCCTGCCTGGGATTGCCTCTTGCTTTGGCGAGGGCCTAAAGTTTTAGAACCTACATCGTTATTTGACTTTCTCAAGTGTCATTAATGTACGGGGGAGTTTTTCCACCGGCCAACCAGGCCTGTGATAATGCAAAAACACCTGGAGCACCCAGGTATAGCCAGACCTAAAATTGATTTCAAAAATTAAAAGCATTACTACCATCCTCTTCACTCTTTTTATTGTGAAGGTGCTCATTCTTCATTTAAAATAATCTTTGTTAACATAATGAGATTGTTGTTCTTTTCGAGTGAATGAATGGATACTTCTAGCCTTAGCTTCCACACAGGAACTGTCAATAGGTCTAATTCGTAAACCAGACCTGTCCAACCTGTGCCCATTGGCCACACACACACATCTCAGGATAGCTATGAATGCAGCCCACCATATTTATTGATGACAACATCATGCCTCATTGTCAAAGGTTTGGCATCCCTGAATAAACAACAGCCCTTTGTGGGCCTCAGTAATTGTTCAGAGTATGAAGGGGTCTTTGGACTAGATAGCCTGGAAATGGCTACGGTACTGATTCTCAGGCTTGGCCTCCGAGGTTCCACTGACATTGAGGATTGTCAGACAGTGCTTGTCTGCTGTTTGCACTCGTGAGGTCTGCAGGTCATTGTCACATAGTAACTACCCTCTCTGCAAGCTGGGAATGGGTGCTCTGTGAAGGGCCCTCACAACTCAAAGCCTGTGTCTTGCTCCCTGCTCAGGTACCTTCTGTATGATGTCAACCCCCCAGAAGGCTTCAATCTCCGCAGGGATGTCTATATCCGAGTTGCATCCTTGCTGAAGACATTACTGAAGACTGAGGAGTGGGTGCTTGTCCTGCCCCCATGGGGCCGGCTGTACCACTGGCAAAGCCCTGACATCCATCAGGTCCGGATTCCCTGGTCCGAGTTTTTTGATCTTCCGAGTCTCAATAAAAACATCCCGGTCATTGAGTATGAGCAGTTCATTGCAGGTGAGGCCGGGCATCAAGCTGGGAGGCTTTTCGTCCGGCGGCTTCCTGGCCCAGCCTGGCCAGCACTTTCCACTTAGCCCTGCTGTAGCGCTTGCTTCCGTGGTTTCTCCAGGGAAGCAGGGCTGAACAGCCATGGCAGGTGTGGTCAGAGTACTGATGAGAAAGCAGCGGAAAGGCCATCTTAGCTGAGAGATGCACACCTGCGTGGGTTGCACCACGCTGGTGAGGGATCTGTGAAGAAGCCTGTTGCTTGACTTCACCCTGCTCCCACTTGGTGAGAGGCATCAAGCTTTTCTGGGTACAGAGGTGTTTAGAGTTGACTGTGGCTTTGGTGGGAAGACAGATCCTTTCTTCTGCTGCGCTGGCTGGTACCAGTGGTGTGCATCAGATCCTTACTCCTCTGTGACCTCTGCCCCCTGCTCAGAACTGCTGCCTCAGGAGGATGTATTTCCAGGACGTGGTTCCCTCCCCAGATCTCATCACTATCAAACGTGTTCTGCATTATAGTCAGTCCTGGGAACATGGGAGCGCAAGTGGTACTTTTTCTTTTTCATTCAGGCTGAAGATGCAAAGTCAGTAAATGCATGCTTAGAATATACCCTTTCCTAGCCCAGCTCCCAGACTTGTTTGTGGGTCCTGGAAAACAGGAGCTGGGATTGGTTTTTTAGGGTGCCAGACTCACCTAAGATAGCCTGACCTTTGCCTGAGCCTCAGTCTTGAGTGCCTGGAGAAGCTGCCCATACCTCTCTGTAGGGCAAGGGCAGTGATTTCTCACTGTGGGAAAGGTATAGTCGGGGCCCTTGCCATTTAGTATGGCATCTGGAGGCACAGGGCTGATTCTCCTTGCTGCCACCGAACCTCCGTCCCTCCAGCTGGACTAGGCCTGGGGAAGCCCACGGAAGATGGTACCTGTGCCATGGGTGCAGGACTACCAGGATAAAGCTGTGCTGGGATCAGCCCAGCGCTTGATGCATGATTGGTCTGAGGGGAGCTGCCCATCTTGGGCCTCAGGTCCATCAGCCATATGCAGGCCTCATGCAGTGTGAATATAAAGACATAGAGATTGATTTTTTGCCACTTGCCATAACTTGGGTCGTCTTCCAGACACACTTCTTGGTACTTTGGGTATGGCTGGTGGTTCTGGTGGTTGTAACAGGTAAGGAGAACACAAACCTTCCTGGGACTCCTCTCGCTGGGGGTTAATGGTGAAGTAGACATGATGATAGGACATGCTGGGGGTCTTGAGAGTGGGAACAAGCTTTGGAGGGGAACTTACCAGTCGGGTCAACCTACGCTCGGGGAACAGTCCAAGGCAGCAACAGGAGAGGGGGTGAAGTTTGGCCTGCTCCAGTGTGTTAGGGGACAGTGGGGAAAAGCAGGTGACGGAGAGGCCAAAGAGACCTCAGTGCATTCCCTTCTGTCCCCCCAGGCCACATGCTCATGTCATTGATTCCGCTGGCTGCTTTGGACGCTTTACCAAGCCTCTGTGAACTAAGGAGGCCTTAACTAAATCACGAAAGCCATTGTGTGTGGTGCACAGCTGTACATGCAGCTGTGGTCCCTGTCATGTGGCACGTCCTCTGGGGTCTCTTTCAGAGTCCGGCGGGCCCTTTATCGACCAGGTGTATGTCCTGCAAGGTTACGCTGAGGGCTGGAAGGAGGGCACCTGGGAAGAGAAGGTGGACGAGCGGCCCTGCATTGACCCTCTGCTGTATTCACAGGACAAGCATGAGTATTACAGGTAGCGCCGTGGTCCAGGCCCCACATGGTTCACAGAGACTGTCCCGAGGGCCCGCCCCTGAGCCCTGGTACATTCTGGTGTAGCTTACCTCATAGGGTCTTTAAAGAACCTCACTAAGATACCCTTACTTTTTTACTTTATTTTTTGTGGTCTGGGGGTTGAACCTAGGGTCCTGTGCATGCTAAGCAGGCCCTCCACCATTTGAGCTACATCTCTCCAGTTCTTCTGTGTTCAAAGAAAGCTCTCAGTGTGTATCTCAGTGCCGCCTCTGACTTCAAATCTTCCTGTATTAGCCTCCGAAGCACTGAGTGTATAGTCATGTACCATGCCCAGCTCCCCTCACCTTTTATGTACACTTGAGCTTGGCATGGGAATGGTGGTCTTAGCCCCAAAGTCCTGGCTGTCACTTAGCACCCTCCATGTGTGATGTACGAGAGTCCTCTTGGAAGAGGAGTTGTTTGGAGAACATGGCTGTCTGGCTGAGCCATGGCTTCTGTTACCTCCTTCTCCACTGCCCATCTCCTGTCAATGACTGGGGAATGTTGAGTTCTGTGGATTTTCTCATAGTTCTTACAAGAACCTGGTTGTCCGTAGTGCTAGCCTGTGAGCCGCAGAGCGAGGGGGTGGGGTCAGCAGGACTGTGCTCCTGCATCTGCACGCCCCTCATCTGTTCCTGGGGGAGAGCACGCAGGCTGACAGACGGGCTGGGTTCTGTTTTCCAGAGGCTGGTTTTGGGGCTATGAGGAAACGCGGGGTCTGAATGTCTCCTGCCTGTCGGTCCAGGGCTCAGCTTCCATTGTAGCGCCTGTGCTTTTAAAGAACACGTCTGCTCGGTAAGTGCCCGGGCCCTCCACTGTGACGGCTTTGTATGTCACCATCCTGATACCTCACCAAGTCCCTCCCTGCACTCCAGCAGTCTGTGGGGTGCCCACCTCCACAGCCATGGACTAGGCTGCAGGAGACTGTGTGTCCTGGAAGAAGAAGCCTAGAGAGAATCCAGCCCAGGGTTGTCTGCTGTGCTCTGGCACTGTGAGTGTGAGAACGGTCTGCACTCTCCTGAACTTCTTGCTCAGTAAAGCCACTTTACCCTTACACTGTCATCCACCTCCTGTGCCCTGAGTGGCAGCTGTGGACGTTGGAGGCAGGACACACTCGTGGCTTCTCTTTCCATTCCTCTTTGGGGAGCCATGAGGATCCCAGGCTGGCTGGGAGTGTGTATGGGGGTGTGTGTGAGAAGGTGATGGTGTGTCCCGTGGAGGTAGCGTGAACAGTGGAGGTTGCAGGGATCTGGGTCATGGCTGGAAGGTGGCGTCTCCTGGGCTCGAGCACTGGGGCTTTGGAAGTAGTGCCTCGTGCTGTCTTAGTCCTTTCTCTCCTGAAGGTTGGGGGTCATAAAGCACACCCTGTTTTTTGGAATCAGGAGGTTACAGTAGGTGAGGGCAGCTGCTCCTCCCCTTGGTAACAGGCATAAGGAAGGGGTCCACCCAGGAATGGGGGGGGGGGGGCGGGGCAGGCATGAGTCTGTGAGGAAGTGCCTGAG